ACATGATTATCAAACCGCAGTCTATCATCAATTCGTAAGCCTAAACTCTTAACTTGTTTTACAAACGTTAATGATTTATTACACAAAATAATATTGAAATTGAGGTCATTTATAATACTTTCAGATTTATTTCCAAACATTATCATTTCGGTTTTATTTTCATTCAATAATAGATTATGTGCTCGTGCGACCATTGTTATTGAATTTAAATCTTCATTGATATATTCTGAAGCTAAAGGTATATTAGATAAGTGAAAAGAAAAATATAGTTGAGTATCATCAGCGTACTGATGCATTTTACAATGTTTCAAATAGGAGGCGAAGTCAGCAGTATATATAGAAAATAAAATCGGTCCAAGTATACTACCTTGAGGCACGCCCTTATTGAGTATTTTATAAGATGAAAATTTATTATTTAGAAAAACCCTCTGGCGTCTACCATAAAGATAATTTTGAAAAAATGAAATAGCAACTGGATTAAGACCAAAATATTTAAGTTTTTGTAGAAGAATTTTATGATTTAATGTGTCAAATGCTTTGCTGAAGTCGAGCAAAATTAGACATGTGTTTAAGTTATTATCATTAGCGGAATAAATTTCATCAGTTATGTGCAGAAGTGCAGTGGTCGTACTATGTTTTTCTCTAAATCCCGACTGAGTTATGGGCAATACCTCTTTCTTTGATAAATAACTACTTAACTGCCAGCACACAACTTTTTCAAGAACTTTAGATATAGTTGGGAGTATACTTATTGGACGAAATTGGGTAATATCTTGAGGGTTATCAACTTTAGGTAAAGGTAATACGTTAGCATCTTTCCAAGCAGATGGAAATGTCCCTGTCTTTAGACATGTATTAATGATAAATGTAATATGTGGTATTAAATGTGGCATAACTATATTAAGAAGCCTTAGATTAATATTGTCAGAGCCTTTAGCTTGAGTTTTTATAGTACTTATTGCTTTATTTACCTCCTCAGTTGTTACGTCAGAAAACGAAAACCCATCTTCAGTAAAAATTGTATTATACTTATCTATAACTGCATCAGTAAATTGATCATGATTCAAATTTGTTTGGGGAATGTTATTAACAAGAAAGTCACCATGTTATTCATCATGTTATTTTTTGTCTAATCCACTTTGTATTAAAAAAATTTAAGAATCGTTATGACCTTAAGCTTCAAGTGGTCTAAAAAACAACCTTCTCAACTTGAGGACCAAAGCACCTTATCCGTCAGCCACGTATTGCAGCTTGTCATATTTTTTCGTCACCGCTAGGCTTCGCAGTACGGACAAACCCTCCTCATTTGCTTACAATATGTAAAACAACGTTTGTCTTGTCAACCGTCACCTTAAAGTACGCCTGTCGAAATACTGGTCCGGCTCTTGCAAATATTCGCGGGCAAGTCAACAGGGTGATGATGTAAATTAGAGATAATTTTTTTTTAATGGAACACCCTATATATTAGTGCATACTTAGCTTCGTTAAAATTTGCTCTTTTCAAACATATATAATATGTTACTGTTTGATTCAGGACTTTTCGACATATTTCAGTTTAAAACAATTTTTGAAAAATCAAGAGGGAAATTTATGTCTGACTGATCGCAGTGGATATGGACGAAACACACGGAACAAACAAATGACTTTGACAGAAGTTTATTTATCATAATTAATTTATTTCTTATAACAAACTATTTTAACAAAGAAATAATGTTTAGTGAGAACGAAAAATTTGAAGGTGCTTTGACTGGGGAAAGATACCTGCGTTTTCTTGAAAATCAAATTGGAAGACCTGCCGGTTTGGTTTTTATTAATTAGGTATTAAAATTATGTTAAAGTTAAGAATGATTTTTATTATTGTAAACACTTTTTTGTGTATGTAACAGTAGCCTTTATAAATAAATAAATAAATATTATCATAAAATAAACGGATAACTTCAAATTTTTCGTTCTCACTAAACATTGTTTCTTTCTTAGAATAGTTTGTTATATGAAATAAATTAATGATGATAAATAAACTTCTGTCAAAGTCATTTGTTTGTTCCACGTGTCCCGTCCATAGCCACTGCGATCCGTCATACATAAATTCCCCTCCTGTTTTTTTTTTCAAAAATTGTTGAAATATGTCGAAAAGTCCTGAATCAAACAGTAACGTATACATTTCTGAAAAGAGAAAAATTTAACGAAGCTAAGTATGCACTAATATATAGGGTGTTCCATTACAAAAAATTCTTTAATTTAGTGATTTCCATTATTCAATTGTTTTTTTTAATCATGTATTATAAAAATTCATAAAAAATCTAAAACCATTTCTTTTTTCCTAAAAAAATTCTTTAATTTAGTGATTTCCATTATTCAATTGTTTTTTTAATACTGTATTATAAAAATTCATAAAAAATCTAAAACCTTTGTATTAAAAACTTTGTAATTTCAATAATAAACTCACAATAAGTTGTCGGATTATAGTGACTAACCCTGTACATACCCGGATCTTATGACATACCTTGTACGACTCCCGATCCATCGGATACCTCCGAATGGGTCCTGTCTATGTGTCCGGGGTACCTGCCAGCGGCGTAGCCGAACGCGTATGGCCTTGGGGGTGGGGGCGGGGTCGTGATCTCTTCTTCTACAGGAAGAAGCTGGATTTCGCCGCAAAAGGTGGCGAGAACTATGCCGATGAGGAATATCTGGAAAAGCAACGGAATATGTTTCTATCAAACAGTAAAAGTTAAAGGTGACATGAATTTTTTCGTAGTAGATAACAAATTACATCGAAAACTGATCAATAAATTATGAAAAGTATAGATTTCAATATTTAAAGTTGAGAAGTCGACAGTGCTATACAGGGTGATGAATGGGGCTCATATTTATACAGAGGCTACCTTTCTTTCATACCTCGCCGCTGGACACAATCAGGAAGCTTAGTTGTCAACTGTTGTCTTTTTTTATTCGTTTTTTTCATAATTACTCAAAAATATAACAATGAAGACACACAAACACACCCTACCGTTGCTAAACACTGAAATAAACAATCTCTTCGCTCTTGTTTTTAACCAGTCTGCCTACTTTTTGCAGTTCTATCTTAAATAACTATTAAATTAATCAGTTTTGTTCAAATTTACTTCAGATTTGTGGAATTTAACTCCTGCGTTTTCCTTTGTAAAGCCGTTTCCGTGGGTTTCCTTCGGTTCCGCGGAAAATATAAAATTTAATATCGTGAAATCAATGGTTCTGTATCTATAAATAATATAGGATGACCTTTGCCGGGTATCGCAATATATAAAATGGATTTTACGGGGTAAACATCTGTCACCGCGAATTATATTGTGTGCACGAACTGACGTCAATATTTGAACTTTTCTTTGAACGGAATCCTTGTAGTTAGAGGGGCATGTTTTGATTTTTTACTTATTGTTGTGCGTGTACAAAGGAAAAAGGATATTACTTAATTTATCGATATTGTGTTATTGTTAAATATTTTATAAAAACTTATACACTGAGGATTTCGCGGTATTACTTTTTACTTATTTATAACTATTTTGATTGATATGACTAGTCTGGCCTTTTGATCAGACCCTGAAAACACAAAAATACAATGTACTGTGACGAAACAATGAAATAATTAACTTTATAAGGTTATACACTTTGTTTTTTACCATTGCCCTTCGTAAGCGTTCGGAACAGGATCGGATTCTGCTTAAATTTAAACTGTGCACGGTTTAGTTTTGTTTCTGTTATGTTTACTTTGAATTAATTTAATCATATTCTTTCTTGCCATCCTCTTCATCTTCCTCTGGAAAGTTTTCTTCTTTTTCGCCTGATCAAAAGAACAAGTGTCTGATTTATTTGTGTAACTTTTTTGGTCTATATTTATTGAATTTAAAATAAAAGCCCTAATACCTACGTCGAAGTTAAACAGTGCAACTATTGAAATTTTGAGTCGCATGATAGAAATCTTGTGTATTTCTGGATTTTACCACGCTGTTTATAAAAAAACGGGGTCTAAAGAGAAATTAGAAAGCAATAATTTGCGATATAATTACTGTATCGCGTCGAAAAACTGATATCCGTCGTTTCTCACCTGACTTGCATTGTTTCATATTACAATCAAGACATTATACTCCAGTCAAATTAGAGTTTGAACGGAAAACATTTATTAGTAAACGTTTTATTGATTTTTATGGCGGGTAAGGGTATGTAAAATGATAATATTAAAAAAAAAACTAACTAAAGAATTTTATTTATTTATTTATTCATTTATTTATTTAAAATACACATCCAACAGGCGATGCCCAATAACAGGATATGTTAAGTCTAGTAATAAAATATAAAAAAAATGTAAAAGAGAAATTAACTATGAAAAATAGAGAGAAAAAATAAAAATACTACAAATAACATAAATGCCCATGAAAATCTAGACGACCTGCCAGAAAATTAGTTATTTTATTCAACACTTGTATATAGTGATACTATAATTTCTTTGGTTTTAAAGGTATAATGTGGCCTATAAGTCACTAGTCACAAGTTATGACTAGTGACTTATAACCCACTAGTGAGTTATAAGTCATAAGTCACTAGACACAAGTTATGACTTATAACCCACTAGTGACTTATAGAAATCGTAAAAAGACAAATGTTTGGTTTATTTTTCTAGTTACGCCGTCTTTGATTTTCCAATCTTGAAATTCCTTCTTTATTGTATATAGATTTTGATTTCTCCGGAATGATGCCTGCAGTAGTCGCATTAGCTTTTTCTAAAATTTCAGATGGAATTTCCACATTTTCCATTTTTTCAGCCTTGGTTTTGGGATTTCAACGTGATTTCAACTCAAAAAATATTGTTTGTATACATTTACATCCTTTGTAATGTTTAAAAATGCATTCATTTCGTTAAATTACTTTTTGTGACATTGATTTATTTATCATTAAAACGAAATTACATGAAAGTGTTGGATAAAATTTTGTATGACACTCGTGTGTTACGTCATATACGTCACTTGGAAAAATTAACCAGCGTGACATATATATCGTACCACACTAGTACCATAAATAGCTATTATTCTTATTATAAAAACTTTAATTTACTGTTATTCAATTCTACTTTTATTGGCAGGAATTAATTTACCACCTTCTACCTTAAAAATAAGTTCTGTTTAATGCAAAAAGAGCGAATTCCCGAGCTGCTTTTGCCTGACCCTGAGACAATTTATTTCTAACGCTGTTCTACTTAATTTCAACTTGTTGAAATTTTTTTTTTTCGATACATTTCTTTGGATCAATTGGAACCTATATCTACGATATTAGGCCAATCATTATATATTTTTCGGGAAAAAAATACTATTAGAAGTTTCTCTGCGGAATATTGTTCAGAAACGTGTTATAAACAAAATATCAAAAAATCTACTCGAGACTAGTTGGTAAACTGTTAAAACAATGGTCAAAATTATGGAAAAATAGTTTTTCGACCGGCGTAAAAAAACTGTTATTCATAGAGAAAAAAAGGTTTCTACAAAAAAGGTAGGTATTAAAATAAGACAAGTCCGATTAAATTCCGACAATTTGTTTATGCGCAATAGCTCAAAAATGGTCGAAATTGTCCGCTTTTTTCAATTGCTAATAATTAATGCAATTTTCATCGCAGACACTTGTAATTCGGGATTTTTTAAGCTTTTTGCACCCTTAATAAGTGGTAAAAATTTCAGCCCTAAAACTTCATTAGCTTGGCGTTGGCGGAATTTGTTATCTAAGAAGATGCTATTTTCAATTCATTTTTCCCAAGCTCACAGGCGTTGTAGAGTTTCGATCATTAGTTGTTTTTGTACCTAAAGAGTTGGATTGACATATGCATTTACTGATAATTTAATTTTTCAAATTTAATTTGTTTAAAAATGACTGAAAAAATGTTAATTTACTAATTAAACAATTAGTTGCAAATAAAAACGAACGAAATTATTCAATAAATACCTAGAGCAACAATTTCAAGGTCAATCGAATCGGCTTTTGGCACACATGTTGGTCTTTGGATTGACCGTCTTTCCCAAAAATTTCATCCACCACCATCGCTTTTTGCAATAATAATGCGCAATTTTCGAAAACTTATTTTTCCGCGTTCGACCTTTATTTTACAGTCAACAAATTGGTGAAATATAACTTTAAGTATCTTAAATTGTAGGTAATTTAATTGCCTGCAACATAAAGTAACTAATTTTCCGAGAGGTCGTCTAGATTCTCATTGGCCAGTAAAAAAACTGAAAAAAACACGTAATTTTGCTACCTATTTGCACTTTCCCAACGTCTTTCGAGCTAATTTTTTGATATTATCATCCTACATACCCTCCCCTGTCATAAAGTACAATAATATATCTACCAATATATTTTTTAAGTCTTCAGGGTTTATGATCTATTTCGACTGGACTATTACCTCTGTAACATCCTGACCAGAAAACATTAGTCATCCATTATCCAGTGAGTAACCTGTCGTTACATGAAGGATTATTAAAATTTTTATACATACACATGTGGGCAGCAATTAATTATTGTTAATAAGTGATTGTTGATTGAACTAATAGGCAGCACAATTTAAAAGTTACGCGTATGATTTGCGCGTGTTGTAGAAAGTTACAATTAAAAAACTGTGGCTGATAAACACGGCCTTGGCAGGAAAATATAACGCTTATTTCCAATTACACACTGGATTTTATAGCGGCTTAAACAAGGTGAAAATCAGATTGAGGAATTAGCCTTTGATCGTTCATTAAAAAAGGTAATATAATTATTCAAAAGTGCGTAATTAAGTTTTCGTAAAATTGAATACCGCAGAATTTTTTTTGTGCGTTGCAGTGTTAAAATTTCCAAAAAAATTATATGTAACCGCTTATGAATTCGTAGCCACTCGAAGAACTGTCACCGTCGATGGAATGTTGAGGGCTTGTTTTTGTTCATGTTACAGAAATATTAGAGTACCAAATTGTTATCTCTTCAGGGTTAAGTTTAAGCATGTGTGTGATAGACCATCATTATCTAACTTTTGTAAACACTTCCTTAGATGGAGTTTGGTAAAAAGTAAATTGATAGGGTAGAGGAATGCACTGGGTAACGCCCATGTGAACGCAACAAAACTGAAATCCCGGGAAGCAACTGCATCATTCAATTGGTTCATAGCCGTATGTCTTTTGTTATTATTATTATTATTATTATTGTTATTGTTGTTTTGGTAGAAAAGTAGTGAACAGGTTGCTAGGGCTGACAGTGGCGGACCGTTAGATCCTATTTTATAACTTGTATAACAGCTCCACTTCTTTACTGTTCGAACTTATAATAAAATAAACAGTATCACGTCAACCGTTTATTATTTCCATGGAGACAATGGAGTAAACTAATTCTTATGTCCACCCAGTGTATCCGACATATATTTTCGATCGTATCTTTGTAATGCGCTGACAGAATTGAATGAAATTTACTACAGCGTATTCAATTAATTCACTTCAATTAGATCTTTTATTGAATGTAATTAGGGACATTCCACGCCAAATCGACCACTTTTAACCCCTTTCGATTTGGCTGAAACTTTTTTATTGCTTTCTACCCCATTGAAAACCTCTATTTTTTCACAGATGTTCACCCAACTCAAAAAAGATGAATTTTTGAAAAAAAACTGCTTTTTTTTCTTTAAATTCTTTTCAAAAATTGAGTTATCGGGACGTTTTTTTTTTCAAAATTTTTGTTTTTAAATGTACTTTTTGAGAAAAAAAATAGATCAAAATTATCTGGACCTATCTTCATTGTTTTTTTTTTAAATTTTCGAAAAAAACGAAAATTTCTCCATGATTACCATTTTTGATTTTTTTTTCTTATAACGACATTTTTTATAAATCCTCAATTTTTTTCAGTGGTGTTTTTTCGTTTTCTATTTTCTTTATTGATTGAAAAAAATTTTTGTTTTTAAATTTAGCTTATTTCACAACTATTTTAAAAATTTTTGAAAATGTATAAAATATAAGAAATAATTATTAGTGGTAAACGAAAAAAATTTCGATTTTTTTTGAAAAAGTTAAGAAAAAATAGATGATCGTTTTGAATAATTTCTTTGTAGTTTTTTTTAGAAAACTACATCCAAAAACAAAGAAAATTAAAAAAAAGTTGTTATTTTGTCCATTTTTGGACGAACAGTGGACTCTAAAAAAAGACATGCAAAGCATTTGAACTCAAATAAATAATTTTGAAACAAGACTTTTTGAAATTGTCATCAATCGCTGTATAGAATAAATTTTTTTCAATTTTGGGATATACATTTTCAAAAATTTTCAAAATGGTACGTGAAATAAGATATAATTGATAGTGGTAAACGAAAAAAATTTCGATTTTTTTTGAAAAAGTTAAGAAAAAATAGATGATCGTTTTGAATAATTTCTTTGTAGTTTTTTTTAGAAAACTACATCCAAAAACAAAGAAAATTAAAAAAAAGTTGTTATTTTGTCCATTTTTGGACGAACAGTGGGCTCTAAAAAAAGACATGCAAAGCATTTGAACTCAAATAAATAATTTTGAAACAAGACTTTTTGAAATTGTCATCAATCGCTGTATAGAATAAATTTTTTTCAATTTTGGGATATACATTTTCAAAAATTTTCAAAATGGTACGTGAAATAAGATAAATTTGAAAAAAAAAAATTTTTCAATCAATAAAAAAAAATAGAAAACGAAAAATCACCACTGAAAAAATTTGGGGATGTATAAAAAATTTCTGTTTTTTTATAAGAAAAAAAAATCAAAAATGGTAATCATCGAGAAATTTTCTTTTTTCGAAAATTGAAAAAAAAACAGCGAAGATAGGTCCAGATAATTTTGATCAATTTGTTTTCAAAAAAGTACAGTTAAATACAAAAATTTTGAAAAACAAAACGTCCCGATAACTCAATTTTTGAAAAAGTTATGGTTATTTGAAAAAAAAACAATTTTTTTCAAAAATTCATCTTTTTTTGAGTTGAGTGAAAAAATTCTCAGAGGATTTCAATGGGTAGAAAACAATAAAAAAATTTCAGCCAAATCGAAAGGGGTTAAAAGTGGTCGATTTGACGTGGAATGCTCCAATATTAACCCCGCAGATTTAACCAGTGGCGTTCTGCAGGTGCCCCCTCATTTTCCAAAAAATACACCACTGGCGTTTTTTTGTAGAAATAATGTTACATTCAGGTACTGTTACGTTAAATGAACGAAAATTGTTTAAATATACCAATAGTACACTTTCTGAAAGACATAATCTTATTCTGAGCCCGGTAATCAATAAATTTTTTTATACGTTTGCTGATATATCTTCTTCGATTTTTATGGTAATAAGTTACACTATTTGCTTTACTGATTCGATAATTTCTGGAGGAGTTAATGTGAATTCTTCCATCTCGAATCATAAATAGTTATTTTTATGGATTAAAAAAAAAGTATCATGCAATTTTAATAATATATAAAATAAATAACTTTGTTTGCTAATATGATAAAATTAAAATTGATCGGCGAATAAATTATGTGTTTAACTTGACAGCAAAGTAGATTTAATGCCTTGCTTGCTTTAATAGACTCGGCTGCGCCTCGTCTAATCTTGTACTTTACTGCTTACTTAAACAAATAACTATGAGGAATATCGTGAACATGTTTACAAAATTAATAATAGTATGTCTTTAAAATATTGAGAAAGAAATATATCTTTTAATTTCAATAACACCCACATTTTTTCAAGGAAACCAAATTGAATAACAGCGTTGTGGTGTCATCAATTAAGGCTAGAAGGTCACAAAACAAATTACACCGTTTCAAAGGAAGAGAAGATTATGAAAACGTCGAAATGGAAATGGCATACAATGTGATAACAATGACAAAAATACAAAATATACACGTCTTTCCCCAGTTTAACTTGCATACACGTAAATTAAATTCGTTTTGACCCAGATTCACCACCGCATTTTATATCGCTACTTTCAGACGACATTTCCATGATCTAATAAAGCAAAATAATCGAACTGCATATGTTTGACACCGAGGAATGTTTTTAACAAATAGGAAACGCCCTTTTAAAAATATTCCTCCAAATATCAACAGATCCCATCGTGATAACAGTATCTTAGAAACAGGTAAAGGTTACCGTACAGATCGATGAATTTGAAAACACAGTACCACTTCTAGAACAACTATAATTGATGTACATGCATTACTTTAAAAAAAAATACTCATACAGACAAATTTACGTAACTAACCTTCTAAAGTGGCTCATAACTTACCGATTCCATGATTAAGTGTCGAGGGAAGGCGATATCTTCTAATGGACGGAATAAATTTGCACTAAGCCGTGTCGCAGTGTTATATTGGCTGTACTGAAATATTGAGAAACGCTAGTGAAAGTTATATAGTTAAAATATGCGCTACGTAGCTTCGGACATGAGACTCGTTTTGAGTGACCCCAATGTTCAATCGAGATGGGCCCGAGACGGTATTGTCTGTAAATTGGCGAACGGGACCTAGTTTGTCTGGTCCGCTGTGCTTACGTAAGGAAGATGAGGCGTAAAAAAAAAACAGAGGATGGTGCACGAGAAAAAAATAGGTAATTAATTATGCATCTGTGCAGGATTTCGCGGTGGGTTTGTTTGTGCAGCAGGATCTGGTGATGTCAGAGCGGGAGTTATCAGATAGTGCGCGGTTTCTTAGTAGGAAATGTGTACTATACTACAAGCCCATCGGAAATTTTCAAGGGGTCATTTGACCCAGCATGAATTACTTATAAATCAATACTACCACATATAGCAATAACTTTCGAAACTATGCCGTCAATTCTTGTTGGTACAGATGAGTACACAGGTAAGCTAATCCTGACCCCCGGGGTGTGGGGGGGGGGGTTCGCCAATGAACCTCCACCTAATCCGTACAAAAATAGCAATACCGGAAGTCAGTTTATACTGCAAGTTTCGTTTCGTATCGATACATAGATAAATTTTTAAGCGACGACGCCGTACGTACTTGCTGATACAGGGGTTAGGAATACAGGATGCGACCCTCTATTTGTAAGTAGCGTATTGGGGGGTGGTTTGAACCAACATCAAATTCACTAATTTTAATCCTATTTTATAAATTAATGACATTTTTGTCCATGCCGTACATTTTTCATGAAACATGTGCTTACTACAGGAAAATTAATTTCCCTCTGAAAAGTAGGATTTCACGGTGAAAAATTTTTGTAGGGCATTAATATATTTTGTTAATAATGACAACAATAATCAACAAAAACAAAATGCCGTACAAAAAAAATGGTTCACAATGGCTTGAAATATATTTTTGCAAATAAGTATTACTTGCAAGAATTGATTTTATTTTTACTACCATTTCCTCCTTAATACAAATTATTTACTACTGTACGGCCTTTCTATAATAAGACTTACAATATCATATAGAAATATTTTTCAGTAATGCCGTACATATTTGTCGATACAGGAGTGAGAAACCCCGGATGTGCAAACCCCTATTCTGACCCTTATGGTTTCCGGTTATTGGACAATGGTCGGCATTGTTGCTAAAACATTATATCAGATGTAAAATAATTTTTAAATATGTCGTTAAAAAACCATAGGTCGATATGGAAATTATTAATTTTATAAATTTGAAGAAGCTTATATATTATTTTTTTTTCACAAGTACATAAGTAAAACTTTTTCAAAATCCAAAAAATTATTAAAAAATCGATAAAAAAATGTGCATTCGAATATTTTTTTAAAAATTTTGAATTATTTTTATTTTAAAATTAAAATTACCGCTTCGAGATTCTAGCTGGCCATCGAAACATCTTCTTTGTCTGTCTCTTGTTTCTTTTCGGCGTGTACATTTTTATGTGGTTTTATTCATGTTTATAACCGACAATCTTAAAAGTTGTTTTTGTAACAAATGCACTTTTAAATTATTTTTACTAATTTTAAACATATATTGTATGCTAGTGGCTTCATCACAATGTTTACATAAATAAATTGTTGAAACAATTGTGACAGAAGTTGCAAATACACAAGTGCGAGGGTACTGTTACTTCAAAACATATATTATATTACTGTTTTAAATGTTAGTATCTATATAGAAGTTCTCATGAATATTGAGTTAAAATTAATTGTTTATTATTATAACGAGCGTTCAAATAAAAACGTGGTCGAAGTTGGCTCTGACACATTGGACGTAGGGAGTAGCTTATAGCGACCAACTTAACCTCATTTCTCAACGAGCTGTATAGCAGCTGTCAGTTTCAATAACGTTAATGACTATATAACTTTATTTTAATGAATAATCGTGATAACAATAACAAACAATTAAAGCAGCTGCTGAAAGTGTCCCCCTCCTTGTTCCAAGCACTTTTCACACCTGTTCCTCAAAGAATTAAAGACATTTTCTAAGATGCTCGGGGTATTGTTAATTTCACGAATCTTGTCTATAAGTCGAGCCTGCAGATGGTTTAAATCAGGAATAGGCAGTTCAAAAATAGTGTTTTTAAGGTAAGGCCACAAAAAGATATCACACGGCGTAATATCACATGACCTCGGTGGAAATTCATGTTCAGCATTGAGACTTATTAGTCGATTTTGGAGAACTTCCCTCAACATATTCATCGTCTCGCCTGCCGTATGTGCCCTTGCGCCATCTTGTTGAAAGTAAAAGTTTGTAATTTTGTTTTCTTCCAGCTGGTTAACAAAAGGAGCGATAATTTCTTCCCTATACCTTTGCGCAGTAAGAGTACCATTAAAAAAAATAGGTCTATAAATCCTCCTTCGATTGAGAGCACACCAAACTCCAATTTTTTGAGCGTTCAGTGGGCCCTCGACAAAAAAGTTATCTGGTTTTTCAGAATACCACATTCTCATATTCTGTGAGTTTACGTAACCACTTAAATGAAACCAGGCTTCATCAGAAAAAAAGGTGATATTATGAAGTTCACCGTAGTTGTTTAAAAACCATTCCCAAAATACAGCCCTTCGCGGAAAATCAACTTCATGAAGTTCTTGCTGACAAGTTAAACGATAGGAGAACAAACGGAAATCTTTTTTTAACACTGTGTGGCAGGTACCGACTGATACTCCCACCATTTGTGATAAAACACGTATAGAAGTTCTTGGCGCATTTTCCATTATTTGTTGGACATTTTCTTTTAATTCTTCAGTCCGATTTTTAGGTCGGCCGCTTCCTTCTTTTCTTGTTACACTGCCCGTTTCACGAAAAACATTAACACAACGCTGAACTGCACTTTGAAAAATTTTGTACTCAACAACGCCGGGAAATTGATTTTGAAATTCTATGAAACATTCCTCAATAGAATACTTCCATATTCCATCAATCTTGCGTCCATTTCTAAAGTAGGACTCTATGATAAACACTTTTTGTTCTTGAGAAAACACCATTTTAAACACTTTTTAAAACGAAAATATTAAAATTGATAGCGGCGATATAGCGCTTTGACAGATGACGTTTAAGTTCATTTGCTATACGTTACGCCCTACGTCCAAATTTTCAGAACCAACTTGACCACGTTTTTATTTGAACGCTCGTTATTTATTTAAAAATTATACTTTCTTGCACGTCATTAAATTTCTAAATTTCTCAAAATATTTTTTCGATTATCTATCCACATTTTTTTTTTAATCTTAAAGACAATGCCATCATAATTTCTACGGTATAACTTAAATTTCTCTTGAACTCATTTTGGACTTCCAACGAATATGTACGGCATTGCCATTTTCATTCATGTTATATTTCTGACGAAAATTTGTAAATGCCGTATAGTTATTAATGACCTAAAAATGTTTTAATGAAAAATATTATCAGCTATGTAAATCCACTAGTTAAAAATGTACGGCATGGTTTTTTTTATTATTTTACTTATGAAAAGTCAATTACAGCCATAATGTTTTGAATATAACATTTCTAGTTTATAATAAGGAATTTTCAAAATATTGTAAATTTTCACAATTTATTTATTTGTTTTTTAATTCGAATTTTTAATTTGTACCATTAATTATAACCGGCCATGATTTAGTACGATAGTTTTTGGTTATATTTGATCAAAAAAGAAGTTGCCGTACAGGAATTAATGATCTTATCGAAAAAAATAAAACAATTCCAAAATACAAGTAATTGTTTATAAACTTTTACATTAACTATAATTTTAACCATAAGCGATTTAAAAATTAAAAACTGATTTTTGTTTTAATTTTTGACGCGCTGTAGCTGGACAATAGTTGTTCTAAGACCCCACATTTTAACAAAAAACCCTTATTTTTGGTCACAGAATACGGCCCTGGATTTTTTACCTCTTCTTAAGAAACACTTACTTGCAATTTGCCAATTTAGCGTCACTTCTTTCGGGTTACTTTTTTTATATTTACATTCTACATAGCCTTCCCCATCACAAAGTGCAACAAAATGTCTACTAATAATTTTTTCACGTTAGGTATACTATTATTTTACATTTTCCGCATTTTTACAAGAATATAGATCAGTAGCGCTTTTAGAAAAAATTTGGGAGTGGGGAGCAAATCTAACTATGTAGTAAGGATTTTACAGAAGTTCTTTATCCTATTTTTTTTTAAGTTTCAATGTTACGCCAGTCTTCCGGTGTAAGTTCTTGACATCCTCATTTGTTTTACAGATAGTTTAGTCCATTGAATCACGTGTCAAATAAAATCGTGATGCAAAAGTGTAACAACGGCAACATTTACTCCTGAGGAACATTATGACAGTAACACCGATTTACAAATGACAATTTTTTTTCGAAAACTTTTTTATACTGTCTCCTGTATGTATAAAAGTGACCTGAAGTAACTGAAGTGTAAGTTAACATGATGACTGATGGTCGCAAAAAAACTTCAATTTTAGAATACAAAGAGATTTTGCAAACTAGAATAAAAAATAGCTATCTGTACTTGTTGTTTTCTTTGTTAAACTTAATTTGATTTTCTTTTTTAATCCCTTTGATAAAATATCACTAACTTTTTCTCAAAGAAATGTCATTAAACTGAAATTCGAACATTGCCGTTTGAAAAAGAAATAGCCAGCTTGAAATGCGATTTACTTTTTTTGAAATACATACATCTGGAAAAGATGTAGTATTGTACAAACGCGATTTCAAACAACTTGGTCTGAGTCAGACATTGTTTATTTTGACAAATTCGCCTCCGGATTCTCAAATATAAAAATAACAAATAATAAAACCGAGGAATTTTAAGAAAAAAGCTGTATATTTTGTTTACGTGAAACCTTGTTTATACGCTGGTTAGCTTCTGTCGTCGCTGATATCATTGTTTGTCAGATTGTTGGTTAAATAAAACAATGAAATAGATATTTCTCTAGCTAGATGATAAACAGTTACAGACGTGACGAAGAA